AGTGGGGCGGAGTGACAAGTGGAGGGTGGCGGAGTGACTCGCGTTGACGGCAGCGGCACAGAGAGGCGGAGCCACCACCGGGCCACGTAAGGTGCATCGATCCCCACCCCTCCAGGTTGGGATGGTGAAACCCTGCCGGGTGGGTGGACTTTTGAACCCTGGGACAGCACTGACCCAGGGCTGAGACTCTTGGGGTGTTGGACTTTTGGGACCTTGGGGAGATTTGTGGCTGGGGGGGGGGCCTTTGCTCATTGTTTGGTTGGTAAATCCGAGTTGTGGTGTTTCCCCAATTTAATGCAGATGTCGGTTACCTCATGTTATTAAAGGTTTGCTACTATACTGAGGCTCTGTGCTTGCGAGAGGGGAAGAATTGCCTCTTTTGAGGCACCCAGAGGTGTATGTAAGATTTCCCAGGTCACTGGGTGGGGGCTCGAGCCGGTGTTGTATTACCTCGTTGGGAGGAGACCCCTAGATACTGAACCCGGCCCTTGCTGCTGCTATTTACTCTGCCTGGCATGTCTGCATGCTGCTGTTCCCCCAGCTGCAGGAGGGAGCGTGAGAGCAGCATCACGCAAAGCCACTTTCGGAGGAGAAGTGATAGATGTAGTACACCTAGACTTTAGCAAAGCATTGGTTACAGTTTTGCATGTCCGTCTCACTAATAAGCTAGGGAAATACAACCTAAATGAGGGACTACAATGTGGGTTCATAAGCGGTTGGATAACCATCCCCAGAGAGCAGTTATCAATGGTTCACAGTCATGATGGAAGAGCATAACAGGTGGGGTTCCACAGGGATCAGTCTTGGGACTGGTTCTGTTCAATATCTTCATCAATGGAATTGAGAATACACTTATTAAGTTTGTGGATGATACCGAGGGAAGGAGGGGTTACAAATGTTTTGAAAGACTGGATGATATGCTCTGGAGAAACTGGATAAATGGTCTGAGGTAAATAGGATGAAGTTTAATAAGGACACTTGCAAAGTGCTCCACTTAGGAAGGAACAGTCCATTTCACACATACAGAACAGGAAATGACTGTCTAGGAAAGGATTTAGGGGTGATAGTGAACCACAAGCTAAATATGAGTTAATCGTGTGACACTGATGAAAAAAAAAAGCTAACATCATTCTGGGATATTTGTAAGAAATACATAAGTAATTCTGCCATTGAACACCATACTATTTAGCCCTCAATTGGAAGTGTCCAGTTCTCGGTGCCACTTTTCAGGAAGGATGTAGACTAATTGAGGAAGGGTCCAGAGAAGAGCAATAAAAATTATTAAAGGTCTAGAAAACATGTCCTGTGAGGAAAGATGGAAATAACTGTGTTTGTTTAATTTGAAAAAGAGAAGACTAAAGGGGGGGGGGGCACAATAATAGCTTTTAAGTACCTGAAACATTGTTACAAGGTGGAGGGAAAAATATTCTCCTTAGCTTCTGATGAGAGGACAAGAAGCAATGGGCTTAAATTTCAGCAAGGGAGGTTTAGGTTGTACATAGAAAAATCTTCCTAACTATTAGGTTAGTTAAATACTGGAATAAATTGCCTAGGGAGATTGTGTAATCTCCATCACTGGAGATTTTTAAGAGCAGATTAGATAGACACCAGCCAAGGATGGTCTAGATGGTGGTTGGTCCTGCCACGAGTGTCAGGAATTGAACTTGATGACATCTTAAGGTTCTTTCTAGTTCTATTATTCTGATTCACACCAGCAGCAATAGGCCTTGAGCTAGAAATCTTATCACAGCTATTCTAAAGAGAATAGAAAGGGGGGTGACTTTTTAGGAAGGGTTGAGGAGGTTTCCAGCAGCAGATAAGTGGATCATAGGATAATTTTTCCAGCAGTGGGGAAAAGACTTGTGCATGTAGTGGGAATTGGGCAGGTCATGTATAGGATAGGGCAGACCTCAATCCAGGAAACCTACTCTATTCTCAGATTAGTTCCACTTAATTGGCCTTGCTAATCAACCAGAGCTCCAGGGGTTAATCCTTCTGGTTACTATCCATATTGCTTTGCTGTTGACACAGATAATAATTGTTGGGGGTGGGTCAGATACTCACGGTGAATGGGATGCACTTGAAGACGTCCTTCCCGGTCACCACGTCTGCGATCAGACTCCGGTTCTCCCCTGCATGCTCCAGCGTGGCGCTCAGCGTCACAGACTCATTCAGGTGGGTCAACTGGATACAGACCTTTTCAGGAACCTTGGTGTGGACCAAAAAGGGCACGAAGACCATGTACTGCCTGGGAAGGGAAGGGCAGGGTCAGAGAGGCAGGGCTGGGGGTGGAGGTTGGTGTCACACTGAAGGGTTGTACCGATACAAGCAACCAAATCAATTTGATGGTCTCAGCCTTTGCCTTCCAATGTGAGTTGTATATTTTGTCCAACCAATAAGGACTTTTCCTTGGGCCTTTCACATAGTATCTAAGGAAGGTGCTGGTTAATGAGGAAGGTCCAAGGTGACCTGTGGAACAAGACTGACAGCTGTTACCGTAAATTAGAGAATATAACATGCATCCATGTATAACAGGTACTCATGTATTACCCACAGTTTTTCTATCATGTGTAAAAAATATATCAGATTACCTGTGGATGTACATAACCCACAGAGACTTCTGCCACCTTCATAAAAGAATCTGGTGGTTTTTGACGTGGTTGCCACTTGCCAGCTATAAAGATTGAAGATTACGATGTCACCCGATAATACTGGGTCTTGTTATACCGGCAATGAACCATGGCTGAGGCCGTTGAGCAATAAGCACTACCCTATTACTGCTATATAAGATGTACCAACCACAATGTTTTAAAACGTTTTCAGTTTATAACAAATATAGTCCAACAAAATATTTGTAAAGATGCCTAAGCGCAAATCATATACAGCAGATTTTAAATTATCTTTTATTACATATGCAAAAGAAAATGCCAATAGAGTAGCAGGCAGAAAATTTTCTGTTAATTTTTTGTCTGTTCGCTAGTGGAGAAAAGAAGAAGCAGAGATTGAGAAATTAAATCCTCCCAAAAGAGCATGCCAAGGAAAGAAAGTCAAGTGGCCAAATCTAGAAGAAAACCTGGTAAAGTGGGTTCTTGCACAGAGATAGCCAACGTGTGATGTCAGTGGTAGCCATAAAGCTCAAGTCTTGACTTAAGGCTATGGAGATGAAAATTGATGATTTTCACAGAGGCTCAGTTAACTGGGTTTACAAATTTATGAGCTGAAACAACCTTTCAGTTCAAGCACAGACAACTGTTGGTCAATGGCTTCCTGATGAATGGGAGAAGAATATGGATGTTTTCAAAGATTTTGTCCATAAAGAAATTAACCAGATGGGTCTGAAAACAAATGATGTCATTAACACGGACAAGGTGCCCATGTATTTCTATATACCCTCAACTCAGTCTGTTGCAGCAACTGGAGTGAAGACAGTCCCTGTAGCAACCACAGGTCATGAATGCACCTGTTTTACGGTCATATTGGCATGCACGGCAGGTGGTAAGAAATTAAAACCGATGGTAATTTTTAAGAGGGTGACAATGCCTTGAGAAAAACTACCAGCTGGCATTTCTGTGGTCTGGATGAACACAGAGGTGATGAAGATGTGGACAGACAGCTGCTTTCATGCATGAAAAGGCGGGTTTTTAAATCCCAAATCTCTGCTACTTTTAGATGCCTTGTCCGCCCATAAAGAAACTTTGGTTCCAAAACATATCAATGCCCTGGGAGCCCATATCGCCATAATTCCAGGTGGACCGACCTGTAAGTTGCAACCACTTGATGTAGCTTTCAACCACCCATTCAAGTTCTTCATCCGTGAGGAATGGGACAATTGGATGACAAACGGGGAGCACACCTTCACTCCGGCAGGTCAACAGCACTGTGCAACTAACATCGAAGTTTGCAAATGGGTATTGGCAGCTTGGGAAAGAATAACACTGGCTACTAGTCCGTAAATGTGAAATTCTTCCGGAAGTCGACTCGTCTAGCTCTGAATCTGGCTACGATAGCGAATCAGACACAACATCACAGACCTCAACCATCACCGTGATGAAGCTAGTTTATGTTTAGCTAGAAGCCATCTTGTATAACAGAAACCATTTCAGCTTTTTGTCTTTGCACGTAGGCCAGAGTGAACTTTCTATCACCCCATGTGCCAGGCCAAGACAGATGTGCTATTGGAATGTGTTAATTGGGCTGGTTCAGAGAGGAGAGGTACTCCCTCGTACCTGTCCGCCATCTTGTTGATAAGGCTTTGTTTTTCCTAGTCTAATTGATTATTTCTGTAATTGGATGCCCTGACGTCAGACTGTTTGGTTAAGGGTATAAAGATACTAGGATTGATTGTATTAGGTAGCCTTACTGG